CCAGACCCGGTAGTGTGTGTGTGTGTGTGTGTGTGTGTGTGTGTGTGTGTGTGTGTATGAGAGAGAGAGAGAGAGAGAGAGAGAGAGAGAGAGAAGGGGGAAGTGCTAGCAAAATGCATGACATGCCCCAGTTGGCAGGAGGGAACGAGAGAAAGATATATAGCGGGAAATAGGGGGGGAGAAAGAAAGACAGAGACAAACAAAGAAAAAGAGAATGCGAGCGACAGAGAGAGAGAGGGAGAAATAGAGAGGATGAATGCTCGAGAGAAATTATGAAATTGTTCTTTTCTTCAAATTGTGATTCCTCCAACTCCAAACGGAGGAAAAACGATCGTTCATCGAAAAGACATCCGCTATCTTCATTTAGATCTAGATCTAGATCTAGGCTAGCCTCAAAACTAGATCAATGATAAATGTCTTTCTGTCTAGATCTAGACCTAGCCTAGGCCATAGATATAGAAGAACCTAGGTCTACCCTGAGCCAAGAGGGCGCTGAAACTTTCCGAATTCACAAGAGTTCCCCTACCGGGTCTGTATACTTTGTGACTTTGTTCCCGTTACCGGGTCTATATACACTCCCTTACAGGAAGGAAGTGACTATTCTCACCCGGGGTGAGAATAGAAATACGATCGACCTCTCACCCCGGGTGAGACTTGCCACCGTTAGCTATTCTCACCCGGTGTGAAACAAGACCTGTTTTTCCTAATTTCGGAATACTTTCTATCGGTGTGGATGATCAAATGGATAAAAGCAAAGAAAAAATTACGTATAGCACAAAAGTAAGCTAATTTGATCGTCTACAAAGATGCTATGGTTATTTCACTTTTCGAATAGAGCCGAACTACGCGGGTCGCCATTTTGTTTTGCCCGGAAGTTCTCGCAAGATTTACTCCTCCCCTCTTCTTTCTCTCTCTCTGTCTCTTTCTGAATACTGTCTATCGGTGTGGACGATCAAATTGACCAAAACAAAGTTAAAAAATGATGTTAAAACACAAAAGTAAATTAATTTGGTTGTCTACAAAGATGCTACGGCTATTTAACTTTTCGAATCGAGCCGAACTACGCGGGTCGCCATTTTGTTTTGACCGGAAGTTCTCGCGCTACTCCTCTCTCCTGTCTCTTTCTCTCTCTCTCTCCACTGCCCACATACAAAATTGTACGCTTTTAGAGGCTACAGTTATAATGGAATGTTTGTTCACGGCACAAAATTCTACAATTTTTCTGTTATCACAGTGTAGAATTCTGTGGTTTAGGGTGAACGCAAAGTATGTTGGCCTAGATCTAGATCTAGATCTAGGCTATAACGGTGAACACGCACCGGGTGAGAATAGAGGTGGCCTTCTGTTATAATCACAGTGTAGAATTCTCTGGTTCAAGGTAAATGCAAAATTGGTTGGCCTAGATCTAGGCTATAACGGTGAACGCACACCGGGTGAGAATAGCCCCGGAGGTGGCACAGGAAAGTACTTTTACTGTCTTGATCTAGAATCTAGATCTATCTATTCAGAGCTTATTTCCGGGTATTTTTTATCACAGTACCTCAAGTCAGTATCCTCAATTATGAATTTGATGTTTTCGTCAGTCAACTGAGTCAAAGCAACAGTGGGCTGGTTGGCGTACGGCATCTTGTCATTAAAAGCTTGAAGATTGTCAAGAATCAGTTCGAGTTGTTTGATTCTGATACATGCGGCTAGCAGCAGCCCGTCAGCCAGAAGCTGATTGGCTGTGGGTAAGCTAGTGGTGCTCTGATTGGCTGTGGTAGGCCAGTGGTGAATATTGTGTTGGGCCTATGATTCCAGTTTTAGCGGTTCGGAAACTTCTGAAACAGTGCTGTAAATATATGAAGCCTAATCTACCTGTTCCAGTAAGGAACTGTGGTGGCCGAATGGACAGCGTGACTGCGTGCGGAGTGAACGGGCGTGGGATCGAATCCTGGAATATACTCTTTTTTTTTTTTTTTTTGGCCTCCTTTCTTCTCCTCCTCCCGACTGACCCCTCCTTTCTTCTCCTCCTCCCGACTGACCAACAATTTTTCCCCATAATTATAATTCGTTGTTTTGTAGTTTTTTAGGTAGTGATTAAGCACGCACATTCTGGTGTTGCCTTATAGAGGAGCCTTTACCTCTTTTCGATCATCGCTTCATCTAGCAATTTTATAGGCTAAGTGCTCAGGTGCAGCAATGCCTCACGTCTGCAAATACATGTAATTCATCAGATAAGTGATAGTAATCTGAAGATGAGTTGAATCTCTCTCTCTCTCTCTCTCTCTCTCTCTCTCTCTCTCTCTCTCTCTCTCTCTCTCTCTCTCTCTCTCTCTTTCTCTCTCTCTCTCTCTCTCACTCTCTCTCTCACTCTCTCTCTCACTCTCTGTCTCAATCTCTCTCTCTCAATTTCTCTCTCTTTCTCTCTCTCTCTCTCTCTCTCTCTCACACACACACACACACACACACACACACACACACACACACACACACACACACACACACACACACACACACACTATCTCTCTCTTTCTCTTTCTCTCTCTCTCTCTCTTTCTTTCTATCCTCTCTCTCTCTCTCTTTCTCTCTTTCTTTCTCTCTC